AGAAGGGAAATAAGGAATTAGCAGTACTTTGCAGGAGAGTAGATCAGTGTGGAAAATCAGCCAATCAAGCACAGAGCTTCCAAGGCTCTGAAATTCACTTAGTGTCCTGCTGCAAGGCAATTTCAGGAACACAACAAAAACTCAACCAATGGGATTATGCTTCTAAATTGCTGGTCTGAGCACAGGTCTAATTCTATATGCTTCTTCTTTGAGAGGCCCAGGCCTGAGTCTGAGGGAATCAGGAGGTGATCCAATCAGAGATCCAATCAAGGCAAGGTCACTTTTTGTGTCCGGAGAAATAGGATACCCAGTGCTTGAGTTCAGAGGTAAATGGGATAAAGTGGCCCCAATGTGAGAAGAAAAAGGATAAAGATAGAGAACTACCCAGTGGGCGGGTCAAGGGCAGAAGTTTAAATAAACTTCTAAACCAGGTATTGCCCTGATAGGGAGAAGGGTGTGTCTCTCAGGGAGGGGACCACAGACCCTGACCTGGAGACATTGTGATGACTGAGCAGAGATAAAGGAGGAGGAGGAGACTGAACAGCTACACTTTTAGAGCCATTCAGGGCTGCTGCAGAGGCTGGTGACCTCTGGCTGGAGAACAGAGTGGAGAGTTCCAGGCTTCCCCTGCAGTTATCTCCAGGGTACAGAGTCAACTGTAACTTCTCAGGTTACCTGAAAGCAGAGAAGGAACAGGGCCAGGGCACCAGAAGAGAGAAAGATTAGCTGAAGAGAGGTCATCAGGGAGTGGATCATGGCAGCAGCAACCACCTCGATCCTGGCACAGTAAGACTTCCAGCGACTGTAAGTAACCTAGGATGAGAGTCCTCAAGGGATGCTCAGAAGAATGCTTAGGGTCCTTGGGAAATCCTGTAGAAATCATTTTTATTTTTTTTCAGATATTACCTTGTGAATAGAAAAGCCACAAGTAGGATGACCAAAGACTTTTCCAAGATGATATATTCCCAATTTTAGATGTCGCCATTTCTAATTCATTAGGCACTTAATGATCCAGAAGCTAGGGATTACTAGCATTTCAAGAATCCCCAAAATATTTTAAACCTGATTAAAATTAATATTGGAATGGCTATAAACTGTAGCAGTATGCCAACTATCCAACTGCAATTCACCTTTTACTCTTCACATGTTAACAGAATAAAAACAAATCTCTGCTACTGTCCTGACAGATTATTCAAAAACCCAAATGTTAAATGAATGAGTGTTCATTTAATTTGAAATGAGGGATCTCTCTGAAACATTTGACAGTATGTGGCTGAGGAGATAAAAGAAAGGGTGTTAATGAAGAACTTAAAAAAATAAAAAATGGTCCTATTTTCAGAATTCTGGGTTGGCCCTCTTCTCAGTTCTCTAAGAATTCTTTGTTAATAACTTCTGAGTGGAAAGTACATCAAACTTAGGAACTTTTTTTTTTTCTGCTGTAGGCATCACCACACAAGGACTGTGAATATGTACGATACATGTGCTTGTGTATATATACAATATATATGCTTGAGTTCTAAAGCTGGTTATATCCTTAAAAATTAATATAATGTAATAAAAGTGTCACAAACTAGGAATTTACAAGGAAGGGCAAAAGCCTGAGATGGAGAAAGAAACAGATATGAGAAAAGAAAACAAAATTTCATATATGAGAAATTACAAATTATTAAACATAGATTTTGGTATTTCCAGGTAAAAGGCCTAATATTTATAAATGCAAAAAATTAACAAATGAGTTATCCTTTTCTTTACCATTATTTCCAAAAGCCAAAGTCATTTTAAAGATATGATCATAAGTATTAGCTTATAGAACTAAGGGCTGAGTTTGGTTTCCTTGATGAAAATATAAGACAAAGGGGATAATGGTTAGAAAAATATGTGGAGACCAGTTGACTAGCATAGGAATGTGGTAGACCATATTTGGGAAAAGGTATAGGCAATAATGTCTGGGGGCAAAAGTATGAAGAGTGTATCACTTAAGATTCCTAAGGATCATGTATTTGCTAATAAGTTAACTTAAATGACAGTACAAAACAGAAGGTGGCATGGCAGGGAGTGTTGACTCCATTGTTCATATCCAGCACTCAGCCATAGAATGGGACCATCTAAGGCTTTTAATTTACAAAAGAGAAAAAGGATGCTTCAGTCACTAAAATACCAAATGGAAAGATGGATTGGCTTTTCAGTTTGGGTAAAGGAGTTCCAAAGTCTAGAGCTCATGTATACTTAGCAAGTTCAGAGAATGTGCTAAGTAGGAATTCCAGATAAGCCACATACACTGAGGAATATTAATGATTTTCTACAGAAAACTGACCTCAACTGGGTACAGTGGTACACTCCTGTAATCCCAGCAAGGAGGCTGGGGCAGGAGGATCACAAGTTCAAAGGTGGCCTCAGCAACAGAGACCCTCAGCAACTTAGAGAGAACTTGTCTCAAAAACAAACAAACAAAAAAAGGAGTGGGCTGGGGATATAGCTCAGTGGCTCACTCTTGGGTTCAATTCCCAGGACCAAAAATATATAAAGTTCTTTGTGGATTGGTAATATAACTTGAATAAAATGAAGATTTAATACAAGTTTATTGGTCATAAAGCCATCTGCCTGCTTTCTTTTTCCTCTCTCCCTCCATTCCTTCCTGGCACTGGGGACTGAATCCAGGGGCACTCTGCCACTGAACTACACCACAATCCTTTTAATTTTAATTTTTTGGAACTGGGCATTGAACTCAGGAGCACTTTACCACTGAGCTACATCCTCAACCCTTTTTATTTTTTTGAGACAGGGTCTCATTAATTTGCTGAGGTTATTCCAACTTGCGATCCCCCTGGCTCAGAGTCCTGATGACTGGGAATACAGGCCATGCGACCCTTTTTATTTTTTGATGCAAGGTCTCACTAAACTGCTCAAGTTGGCCTGGAAACTTGCCACTCTACCGCCTCAGCCACTTGAGTTGCTGGGGTTACCAGCTAAAGTCATTTTTTACTTTGCTAAACAATCACAGTTTTATTATTTACTAGCCATGTTCATTCTTGATATTACTACTTACTATCACTTTATTAGTGGATAAAGTCACTGAATATTGTGAGGAAGGGAGGAATGGCATACCTTAACTAACACTAGGGCAAGGTGATAGCTTAGGGAAGTGACTATTGGAAACACCCTAAGTGACAATTTAACATCCTTGTGGCTGAAGTTTATTGAATCAATCCCCAGGCTGAACTGTTAATTGTAAAGAATCAGCAAGTATCATTCATATCTTAACTCCCAATTGTAACTCTACCTGAAGGACTTATAATTTGATTCCTTGAACATATTACATTTATTAGTTGCTTAATATTTAATTAGTGGAAAAGGGGTTGACATACTATTCAGGGTTTAAATAGTTTAAAAAATTACATATAACTTCCACTGCCTCTGTCACATATTTAAAATAATAAGACTCACAATGAGTATAGCAAACAGTATTTGTTGGGGTTTAGAGATGGTGAAATGTTTGCACTAATATTTCCTCTTATATTCCCCAATGCTTTTAGTTTTGTTGTTGCTGCTGTTTTTGTGGTGCTGGGGATGGAACCCAAGGCCTTGCACAAGCTAGGCAAGCACTTTCTGAGGAAGCGCTGTACCACAGTCATATCCCCAGATTTCACTTCCACTTATGTTTTAACTTTTAGAGTTCCTTGGTCTGCATTAACATTGAATCTACTCAACCCAAGGCAACCTTGAACTCTGGTTAAGTTGACCTTACTGCTTTTTGAAAAAGTCTGGTGATGCTTCTATCCCAAGCATGTTGCATCCGAACTACATGAATAATACTGCCAAGTATTAAAGTGAGGGGTATCTGCCTGTTCTTAAACTCTAGTAACCCTTGAGTGAATTGTCCTTTCTAATCCTCGTTTTTTTTTCTGTAAGATGGGAGGAATTTCTACCATGAAGTCATATAGAAATTGAGAGGATTAAAGAGAATGATACATATATATGCTTTGCACAGTGCTCGTCATACAGTACTTAATTTTTTGTTCCTCTTCCCTTTTTAGGGAAGCTAGGTAAGTAATTCGTTGATTGATGCATAAAATAAAGAGTTGAAATCCTTGAGTGAATTCCATATCAGCACTGGCAAAACAGGAACTTGTGGTCCTTAAAACCTCTTTAGTGAGGTTGACTTCTGGAAGCTAGAAAAGTGCTCCACGGGCGGGCTGAATAAAAAAAGTTCTATTGTCACCCTTTTTTGTAAAACTGTAAACGACTGAAGATACTAGGTGGTCCCTATTTCTCTTCAGGCATCTGCTTAGCTTAAAGTACCAACGTCCAGTCCTGGGTTGCTCCAGGTCTTCAGCACGTCCCAACCATGTCCGCAGACCCTCTCTTCTGGCCCGAGACTTCCAACACATCTCCTCCAGCAGAAAACTGTAGAATTGTTTTGAATTGTCTACCCAGTGTTCTCGATTTTCCGTGGCTGTCTCCGTACAGCTGTCTTGTGTTAAGGTGGTTCCCAGAGTTCTAGGATCGCAACAGGAGCTCTCAAAAGTTGTACCTAGGCTTTCTAGAGACTGCTACAGCCCCGTGGGAATCGTGCACAGGTTCCCTTCAGCGGATTAGACAAGTTAGGAGGCCTGTCAGTGGGCTTTTAAGCAAGGAAGTTTTCCTACTTGGAGAAAGTAGAGTGCTGGCAAAGCGAGGCCCGCCCTCACTGGTCTATGGCTGCCTGGACCGGCTCCGTGCTCAGTGCAGGGCAGACGCGGCGGCTTCCAAGACCCTGCGGCGGATCCGGGCCGCCCGGAAGTGCCGGGCGCAGGAAGGAGGCAGGAAGAGCCTCGCGAGCCGCCGCCGCGCACGCGCCTTCCCGGGCTGGGCTGGGACTGGAGTCGTAACTCGGAAGCCGGAGCCCGGACGGGCCCGGGGCGGGGTGGGGGGGCGCGCGGGGGCGGGAGCGGCGGAGGCGGCCGCCCCTGGCGGCGGGTTTGTTTATCCCGGAGAAGAAGTTTAGGAGCGGCAGATAGGGAAGGAGGGTGGACTGGGGCGGAGGGATGCGGCTCGGCAGAGGCGGCCGCCACAGGGACTCGCCGCCATCGCCCCCGCCGCCGTCACAACCTCGGCTCCCGGGGCCCTCTCGGCCGCCGCCTCAGCCGGAGAGCAGCCGCCGCGAGGACTGCTCGCCGTCGCCCCGCACGTCCGGGTAGGTGCCCCTCCCCCGTCGGGGTCCCAGCGCGGCCCGGGTCGCTCGCTCCTCCCTCTCTGTTCTCCAGGCCGGGCGGCCTCCTCTGGGCCCTTCGCTGCGCCCGCATCCCTCTTGGAACGGGAGCCCGGCTCCTGCGGCGCGCCTTCGGCCTTCACAGGGGTTGCCTCCAGCCCCATCCTCCGCCCCCCGGACCGCCCTCCGTCCGGTGTTTCTTTCTTCCTCTGGGGATTCCCAGCCTCCGCCTACCAATAACCCCCTTAATTTTCTCCACGACCTCGCCCCTTTTACTCTTGCGGATCTCCCTTCTCTCATACCTGTGTATCTCCCCCTTTATACCTTCTTTTCTTGCGTCCTGCCCTGAGGGAGAAACTGGCCCCGCCGCCCCAGCAGCGTCCACCTCCATACCTCCTCATCCCAGGCACGGACCCTCGAAAGTATCGTTCTTTTAGCTCCTTTTAAACTGCATTCTCAGCTTTCCAGACCACTCAGTGCCTCTACCCAGTGGTCTTGTCCGCAATCTCCAAGCACACATTTGCCTTCTCATAAATTCTCACTTTTATAAGGGTACATTAAGCTAACCGTGTGGTTCAGGGGTCCAAGTCTTGAAGAACCAAATTTGACTCTGCTTTGCTCTCTTGCTGCTACCCTTTTCCCTAATTCTTCCTCTCGGATCTGTTTTTGTGCACTGATTTAACATAAAGGAAAGGGGTAGTAGAATTTTCTCCCTCAAAGCAGTTACAGAGCCCAGCAGAAATAAGATTAATCTTCTGCTTATCTTAACTTTTTGCTTAATCTTCCAAAACCAAGTCCGTGAACATTATCTTTAAGCCCTCTGCCATCCTTTTGAAGCTCCTGATGGGTTTTTTTTGTCTGTATTTGCATAATCCTGGGCCTAGTTTGCCCCAGTATAATACTCTTCTTCCTTATAATGGAATCTTGGTTCTTGGATAGGAAACTGAAGGAGTAAAAGGGTTATACCTTAGAAAATTACATCTCTTCACCATGATGGAACTGGTGGAATATTTCAGATTATCCCCTCATTCTTGAGAGAAATGTTGCCTGGTGGTTAAGGGCTCAGATTTTGTAGTGTAATTGTCAGGATTTAAACCTCTACTCTACCACCTTCCAGCTCTGGCTTTGGGGAAATTATTTAACTTCTCAGGGCTTTAGTATTCTTGAACTGTAAAATGGGATGGTTCTCATAGGGCAGTAAGGATTGCACATGTTAATACAAATAAAGTACTTAGAACAGTGGCACATTAATAAATATTAGCTTCTTAGCTTGATCGGATTTGGCTGTTAGGTTAATTTTGAGAGGAAGGTGAGAATGGAATGCTGTTTTCTTACTCTTATTTGACACCCTTTCTGGTGTTACGATTATTTCATTACTGTATGAATTAATTTCTCCTTATTTGAAAAATGCTTTTTAGCTCCCTCTTTTCTGTTTTTAATTTTGTACTGGGGAATTGAACCCAGGGGCACTTTACTACTGATCTACATCCCCAGCCCTTTTTATTTTTTTTTAGTTTTGAGACTGGATCTTTTAAATTGCTGGCCTCGAACTTGTGATACTCCTGCCTTGGCCTCCCAAGTCTCTGGGATTATAGGCTTGCATTACCCAGTGGAGGGCTAGCTCTTGGTTTTCAAGTGAATTGTCAGGCTACAGATAAGTCACTTCCTATTTTGTTTCTCTATTTGGAAGTTGTAAAATTTTAACTTCACTTTGAGAATAAGTGAGTAGTTGAAGTATGTAGCAGATTTGTCATACTGGAAAATGAAGATTTTTATGCATAGCAATTTTAGTATTGGAAGTGAAATATTCAAAGCTGGTGGGTATCTGTCTTTTATCTTGAATCATTGCAGGAAAAAGCTTTGTCTTCATTTAGAAGACTGGTACTTTTTCTCAAAACCTGTTATGTTCTTTGACATTCACATACTTTAGCTCAGTATTTATCAGATTTTATTAACTTGTTAAAATGCTGCATTGCCATATTTGCTTTCCTCCTGTGCATCATTATTTACTTAATACATTTTTATATGATTTACTTAAAATCTAAGTAGGTATTATTTACTCCAGTGTTCTAAATAGTAAAATCTGAAATATCAATTTAGCATCCTAATTACATGTAAAACAGGTACATAATTATCAAAATAAACATGTTTACCATTTATAACCTAAAATAATTTTTGTACTACCTGGTGCTCTGTACTTTGGGTGATACTGCCTTTGCTAAGACTGTTTCTTGGCCTAAAATATCCTTTGCTCTCTCCTGGGTATCCATATTCTACCTGTCATCTACCTTGTACTACTGCATAATTCCTGCCAACATTGTTTTTTTTTGTTGTTGTTGTTGTTGTAGTTGTTCCTTTGTTGCCTAGTGTCTGCATTCTGCATTTTTGGCTTTGAATGGTATAGGCAGCACAGCTTGAAGAAAATGACTTTCCTAGAAACAGACTCTTGAAGTTTATAGAAACTTTGAAGTGGTAGAATAAAATTGACCTTTAGTGCAGAATTGCATTTCACTAGTTTTTTGGTTTTGTAAATATACATTCTCTCCAAAAGTATTTAATGAGCATCTGCTGTATGCTAGGCACTGGGGATACAAGAGAGTGGCCCTTCTTAGTCATAGTCCCAGTAAAAATCAAGTTATATTACTTACTTTGCTATGTACCTTTCATGATACTAGTTGTATACCATTTTTGAGAGAAATGAGTAAATAGTAACACAAATGAGTTTTCATAGTCCATAATTCCTGCGGGACCCTGGTGGGAAACAGCTCTATCAGGGAATAATAATAATACAAACTCTGCTTTTTTGTAATTTATATTCTAGCATGGCATTGACAAGCAGAAAAAATTTAAGTGAGAAATGTTAATGTTAATGATAATGATAACTGCTAACAGAACACTGCACCAAGCACTGTCAAATTTTATATATTCATTTAAACTCATAGTAAACTTTTAAAGAAGGCTTTGTTAATACCATCATTTTACAAATGAGGACTTTGGAAAACAGATTACTTAACTTCCACAAGATCTTAGTTCATTAAGCAATGCAGCCGGGCAATATGGCTCTAGAGTCTTTTACCCTTAGACCTGTCACTTTCTTGTCTGCTTTGTAAAATTCTTTACCTTTTTGAAAATCCTGTTTTTAATGGAACAATGGACTTTTCCTGTCTTTTTCGGTGTTTTTTTTTTTTTTTTTTTTTTTAAGATCAATAAAGAAGATATAACTTTTCTAAAGCACTTGGTACCCAATTTTATCTCAAGCCTTACATATGGCCAGATATTGAAGGCATTTATATTTCATCTACTCACTGTTTCCTGAGTTGGATTTGCTTGCTTAGCAAAAATTATTGAACAATTCATCTGTGCCATATACTTTGCTAGGCTCTGGTGACATATGATAATGAAAAGAGGGCAACTGAATTCATGGAGACAAAAGTCAGTGGGGAAATAAAGAAATTAAACAAAAAATAATAATAATTAGATGATAACTGCTATAAAGGAAAATTATTTAAATAATGAAAGCCCACTCATCCTTAAGAGAATGTTTCTCTGAAGAGATAATTTTAATCTGAAACCTAAAAGGTGAAGGGTAGTTACCCAAGTGATACTGGCTATTTCAATTTTCTAGAATTGGAAGGTTCAATAGAGACTGGACCTTAACACAGGGTGGTTTATCTGAAATGAGGCCAAAGCAGATCACAATGGCCAAAATCCATGGTAAGCATTTTGTACTTAACCCTAAGGGCAACAGGAAGCCACTGTTTAATAACTGAATAAATTACACAGATTTTTGCATGAAAAATATCACTTGACTGCTCTGCAGAGCACAGATTGGAGAGAAGCAAGTGTAAATGCAGAGACCCCGATTTAGACCTGTGCTTATCAAACTTAACTGTGTGAAGGACCATTTCTGTTTGAATTTCCAGTTTGTACTAGTACTTTAGTGACCCACTATAAAATGTATGTTTTGATCTGTCAAATTGTTATATAAAGTTTCTAAAATTTGTGGGCCAGTATTAGTTCACAGACTACACTTTGAATAACATTGAGTTCAGCTATTAAAGAGTAATCTAGAGGACTGGGAATGTTTCTTAGAGCGCTTGCCTGTCATGCACAAGGACCCGTGTTCCATGTGTGACACCACCATAAAAAAAGAAAATAGGTAGGAGATTATGATGGAATCTTTAGTCCAGGATGACAGTCATAGACTTGACAAATATTTGTGAGGTAAAATTGATAGAATTTGGTGATACTTAAGATTAGATTAGGAGGCTAGGGGAAGGAGAAGGCTGATTTCCATAGATTTTTTTTTTTTTAACCTAAGTTAGGAAATATTGGAGGAGGTTGTATGGTAGTATCAAGAAAGGGGGGAAGTAAAGCTCATGGAGTTTAAAAGAGGGAGACAGACAAGTGGAGATGTCTAGTAGCAGTTGCATATGTAACTTTAGAGCTCAGGAAACAGATTTGGACTGTAAGTTTGGGAAGTCAGCCTATAGTTTATCATTGAAGCCTTGAAGTAGTAAATGAGGTTGCCTAAGGAAAAAAAAAAAGCAGAAGATAAGGCGGCTTTGGTCTAAAACCCAGTGAATCTTCAACATTTAAACATAGGAAAAAGGAAATGAAACAAAGGATATTGAGAAGGAGTAGCTAGAGGCTAGAGGATATTTTCCTTTGCATTACTGAAGCTGTGGCAGTAAACTGTTTGAAAGGGGCAAGAGTGGGCAGTCAACTATTTTGAACGCAGCTGAAAAATCACATAAATTTTAGACTCAAGAATACACATTGGATTTAGCAACATGGAGAAAATTTTGTATTTCTCATTAGTCCTTCCATAAACCATTTGATGATTAATTTTGTTTTAATCTGCCAAAGCTATATCCTGAATTTAGAATAAAATTATCATATCTATAGCATGAGCTATATTTTCCTTCCTTAGCTCAGCCCCATGTTTTGTTTATAACCATCTGGATATTCTGTAAGTATCTCAAACTT